AAAATAAGTAAAAATATTTATTGATTGCGCAAATTTGCTGCAGGTGTATCGCAGAGTGTTTCGAAAAATGATTACTACGCATTTGTTCACTCATTACTTAGTTATTCAATTCTAGCATGGGGTGCAGATCCTGGGAGTGAACAAATGTTTAAAATACAACGTAGGGCTGTGCGTGTTCTGGCAGGTATAGCTTACAGGGATGATTGCCGCCCTGCTTTTGTCCGACTGTCTATTCTCACTGTGCCATCGCTATATATATTGCGTTGTATTATGTACGTTATGGAGAACCATAATTTGGTCGGAGAACATTCTAATATTCATTCTCACAATACACGAGGGTGTGAAAATCTTTGTCCAGACAAAAAAAGCGTTTTATTCCACACAAGAATTTTTAAATTGTAATGTTGACGATATGTAAATTTTGAGTAATTCTGTAGTTTTAATTACTATAAATATGTATGTAATATGTGTGTTTTGACAGGTGTAAGAGTGCATGCACTTTTTGCATAAATAAAGAAACATTATTAATATTAATAAGCTTACAGTTTCAAACATATATGTCTAATTAGGTTGCTTAGATTAGCTTACAACAAAAATTTTTGATCTTCACTAAAACGGTACTAACATGTACTTACAGTAATTTAACATTATCTGGAGAATCAAATTCCTCTAATCCAAACGCTCATTAGGTTAATTCAATAACCACAAAAAATTAGAATTAAAATGGTAGACTTCCTCCCAATTAACTCCAAGATTGGATCAACAATTTATGTTGGTATCATTGTGGGACACGCTGTATCTACACCAACTCTTTGAAACAATAATTAAAATCGTAAATACCGTACTCAAAATTGTAGTTATCATCGATTGAAATTGTAGAACCGTTAACAATTGCGGTCGTAAATACGGGTACGGTTAAATATCGTAAAAGCTGACAATGTAAAACGGTATGCGCACACATCCTCCATAATAACACTAATATCGCATGTCGCCAACAACGGTCTGTTGCAATTCTAATGTGTAGTGCAATAAAACAAACATTTCAAACGGTTATTATCGTTATTGTCTTTTTTGGTTTGGCAAACCCACCACCAGGTAAATAACCATTTAATTAATTATCAGCCAATTCGATAATTTTTGCTTTTGCAATTACGCAGTTATAAAGTGAAGGTTTTATATTAAAATTTTCTAAATGATTACTTGAATTTTTTGTTAATTTATTTTTTAATTTGTTTTAGAGGAGGGGTCACACCCGTATCCCAGTTTTTGAGACACGGCGCCCCGACCGGCTACCATCTCCAACAGAAACTTTAGAAGACTTGAATCCGACTGACATCTCGCGAAAAAGTCACGAGTTAAACTCGAAAGATATCGGAAAGCGGGTTCGAATAGCGGATAAAGAAGGTACGTTGCGGTACGTTGGTAGTGTGGGATTCGCGAGCGGCATCTGGTGCGGTGTAGAATTAGAAACGTCGGTTGGTAAACACGATGGTTGCGTCCGTGGAGTGCGTTATTTCAGTTGCCCGCCGTTACGCGGTCTTATGGCAACGGTCGCCAAAGTTTCTCTCGTCGATGAAATTGCGGTCGATGCCGTTTCAGGACCTTACAGTATGATCTTCGATGTCCGGGAAGAGCCGGTCGTTGCGCAAACAGCTAAATCTCTAAACACTACGATAGTTACGGTTCCTTTTAATAAATCGACTTTAGAGAAAGATTTAGAGAAAACGTTAGTTTCGAATGAAATTACGGCCAGCAAATTGGAAAAAATCGATTATACGATTCATTCCGAAACTATTAGCTTAGAAAAGTCTGCTGAGGGATGTTTTGTCACTTTTATAAACCAAGATCTGGATGTAACTATTAATAATGATAATAATGTTAAAAATTTTACTAGAACAATTAACGCTAGCGTGGATAGTAATGAAACGATTGATAAGGATGTAAATGATACGGTGATTTTGGAGAAAAGAAAAGTCCCATCTGAATTATATTTGAAATGTAACGAATCGTTTGTAATCAGTATGAGTGATACCTTTGAAAGACCACGAAGCTATCCGACTTCAAACGAATACGGGATAAAAAAGTCATCAACTCCCGTGAGAATTCAATCAAAAAAATCAAATCTTTCGCCGATACGTACCGAGGAAGATCCTATTAAACGAGACTCTTTCGATTGTGATGAATCGTTAGGAATCTTATCTTTAGAAAACATGAACGAAATGTCGTTAATTTCTCGATCGCCTTCTTCTGAAAACATACAATCGCTACCGAAAGACCCCAATAAAGATCTTAGCATTTTAGACATTAACGATCTTTCTTTGTTTATGGTTAAGCCAGAATCCAAAGCCCTCGACTTGGGCTTTGCGGATAAAAAAGATTTTACACTAACCAGAATCGAACAAACACCGTCTCCGGAAGAACTGCCATTAGATCCAACACCAATCGTAGAAATAGAACCTAAACAGGTTCAAACAAAAACTAATTTTATCACTAGCATAACCAGTATTACCAGTATCGACACGGGTTATCAAGGTGACGGTGAAATGTCTCGCCCGGCAAGTAGAGGTGCTGATAATTCACCGTTAACGCGTAGACCTTTACCTCGACCTCAACCAAGAAGACCCGATCCCATGACAGACTCGGATTTCTACACAGAAAGCGATGCTGACCATGAGGATCACAAAGGCGATCGAAAAGCTCAAGTTATCGACGGTACTTTATACGGACCTGATGCCCAATCATCAGCGGACATTTACAACATCAATCAAAGAGAAAACATGGACTCATCCGGTATTTTCACCGATTTAGAATCAAATAAACCCGAAGAAAAAAAAGAAGAACTGAGCCCGTCGCAATCGACAAAGACAATATCCGATACTAGCCCTAATGAAAATTTAATCGATCTTCAATCGCCAGATTCCAGAAATGTTTCCGATAGTACAGTTAAAGAAATGCCTTTAAAACGGCACAGTCCGTCACCTTCTAGTATTACATCAAGTCCAACAAGTGTTAGATCGCCGAGACACGTTCCAAAAGAGGACTGTAAAAAATATAAAGTACCGAAACGAAATGTCACGTCGAAAGTTAAAGCTTTACTTGATACCACTGTTGTACATAATCCCGAAGCTAAACCTCAAAAAAAAGTTGGAAGATGGGATGCTGTTATGAATAAAATTTCTAAAAATCAAGGAGAACAACTCAAACATAATTTAAAAGAGATTAAATCGAAAGTTTTTAGTAGTATCCACGTTAACGTTAATAAAGGAGATGGTAAAGAGATTGGAGTTGGATTAGCTGGCACTTCGAGACAAAACAAATCACCAAATAATAAAACGTAAGAATTATTTGCTTTCACTTTCTGTTTGATTTATTCTGTTTTGGGATTAAATTACGTAATAAATATTCGAACGTACTAAATTCAACTCATCCCATTGTATGCAAGTTTGGTATTTTAGTACATATTAATGCAAAATAATGTATTGTGCGCAGATTCCAAAAGAGAATAATTCATGTGATATTCAAATTATTCCAGTATTATCGGGTTTAGTTTAGAATTTGTTCAAAGGGTACAATTCGAACGGTATTTTTACACTGTTTAGTAGGATCAAAAAATCTAAATAAATAATAATGAATGTAGCAAAATTAAATATATCAAAATTTTGATATCTCAATAAATATTTTGCTCAATTATAGTAAAGTTACAATTATAGTAAAGTTACTCTCACACCTATTCTTAAGAAAAAAAGATGAAATTTTTCTGACCACTTACAACTTTCTCCTATATTTAGGTAGTAGTCAATACGGGTTTTATACCGGATGTCACAGAATAACTATTCCTTATTTTCGGAAATCATCTTTTTCTTGGTTTACTCCTTACTCTTCGACCCGGTGGTCTCAAATCTGCAACTCTTCTTGTTGTCTTCTCATCGCTCATTTGTCCCACGTACCCCATCCATCCGAGTCTCCTACTTTCAATGAACCTGATAATATTGGTACCAATTGTTGTTGTATCAATTGGTTTAATTCGTGATTCATTCGTAAAGCGTAAGAGACATCTTTATTTTGTAAAGCTCAAAATATTTTCCTCGTTCAAATGTCCTAAGTAGTTCAAAATAATCCTTCCATCCTTATAAAATGTCATTTCTCTCCATAAGAACATTTCCCTAGTCATCCTTACATTCATTTATCTTAGGTCAAAAACTTACGTACTTCAGTTTCCTATAGAATCTTAGGTTTTTGTTGTCACGCTTCGCCATTTCTTGTACCTTTCTGTTAAGAGCTTCTTCCTTCTACAAATTCTAGAACTCTGGTATTTTATTTTCTCTCCGATCGCCTCTCTACACTCTTCATTCTTTGATTTTGCCATCACATCCACAGTGTGACTGGCTGTCTCAATGATTAAATTTTTGTGCACGACCATTCTTTATCTATGTCATCCGCAGGTCTAGTATTTCATCTAGTACTCATCATTTACATTTCCAACCTCAAGTTCTGCTGTATTTTATTTGGTCATTTGCCTTTCATTACAAGAGCTATTCGTGGTGACGTATTAACTTCCACCAAGTGGTAATCTGAGTTACAATCCGCTCCTTAGTATGATCTGATGTTCAGGATGGAAGTATTATTATTATTTGATTGGTCTCGTTGTTCCCAATATTAGCCACATTCCTTTATATATATTTTGCCCTAAAACCGAAAGTTGCCTGAGTTGAACAAAATATTCATATTTATCTCTCTAAAAATATAAGACTTCTCAGAATAGACAGGCTCAAACTATTAAAAATTTTTTGGTGCCTATCCATTTTTATCACAGAACACTGATGGCAGCTATCACAAGCACAAAAGCCGCTTGGTGACTCATTTCATTTTACGATTATACAGGTGTTTCTGTAAGTCGCGGCATAAATTTAATCACTAAAACTAGAGACAAAATGATAACTGGTTTTTATTTTATATAGAATGTAAGTCTAACCAGTTTCGGCCCTTGACCATCTTTAGAGACTCTACAAATAGATTAACATCTCTCATCTTATCTATTTTACAAACAAGTTTCTTAATATTTCTTTTTGTTTTGTTAAAAAAAATCATATCAAAGTCGAAATCAAATTATTATTTACTAATTTACAAAATTAAAGTTTAAAAAGTTGTAAAATGAAATTAAGGACGAAGTGTTACAAGTTACAGGTTAAAATTTAAGAACGCTCTTTTTTAACAAAAGAAATATTAAGAATCTTGAGAAAAATTCTTGGGGATCATTATGTGGCTTAAAAATCGATGATTTTTTTTTAAAGCAATGTGAAATGACCCTAAAAACACCTTAAAAATAAAAAGAAAGTGCTGAAAAGTGACTAACACTAGATTAACTTCAGTTATAAAACTTCTATTACATAATAACTAACTTCAGGTTTAAAATGTCAAAATTAATTTTGACATATTTGTAATCTTCATTAAAAATCCTTTAAAATGAGTACAAACACGACATATTTATCTTCAATATTAATGAAGTTATGGCCAACTTCCGGTTAAGAATGTCAATGTCATTTTGACATATTCATAATTTTTATAAAATGTCTTTATAATTATCACAAAAACAAAAATATAATAGAAAAACATTAAAAAAATTAAGGTTGCCGTAGATTCATACTATTAAATTCACTGGAATAATTTGAACCAATCTAATTTTTTTGTATTATTTTTAATGATTATTTATTTGTTTAGAAGAAGAACCAGAATAAGGTCAACTAATGTACCAAGTACCACCACAACCGTTAACACCAAAACAAACAGCATTAACAGTTCTTTGAGTGATTTAAGTGGAGCTTCTCCAATTAAAAAATGTGGTAAGTCTATATCTATCCTCTTACATATACATATATATTATAAATTAGAATTCGATTAACTCGGTAATTGTTTCAAATTTTATTATTATTATAAATCTGTTCAATGATTTATCTTTGGTTTTAAACTGCTATATAATAGCAATTTATTACTGCTATTTTTTTAATGGCGCTTTGTTTCTTAAAGATCTCAATTTCGCCTCCAATCTATTGTTGTGTTGGTATAAATATTCGGTTCGTTTCATCATCTTATTAATCTATCATCTTAACCGCTATAACCATGCTTATTAAAACCGATAAGAATTTATTGATATTCAAATGGTACATTTTTTTTAAAGAATTTGATACCGTCAATTATTAATTTATTGTTATTAACAAATGACAAACACAAAATAATTAACATTTAATTGTTTTATTGTTTCATTTCATGTTTAAATGCAAATTCATAACAGTACTTTATTAAATGAGACTCTACTCAACGACAATAAGTGGTCTCTAGGTAGAACAGTTTCTTGACACTGACTAATTATTGCAGATGATTGAGGATTTCGATCAGATAGAATATGTTTCGAATCTTTAAGAGATTCTTCAGTATAACCCTTTGACCAATTATCGGAGGCCGCCAGCCACCATGTCTTTTAACACTAGCAAAATCAGCTGCCGAATCTGCTAGTAAACTAAAAATGTTTCCAATATAACGCCTTCGGATACATTTTTGAATTTCTTAGAGTTGCAACATTCCTTAAATTCTTTATAAGCAAACTCATATTGCCTTGTTGTTTTGCTGGGAATAAATTCAGAAATTTGCCATTTGCCCATTTGTAAATATCGATGCTGCCAAGCCAAAACGGCATAAGCGACATTTACTTGATTTGCCAGGAAAATGCCTATTTAATTGCCTTTAAACCAATATTGTACCAATTGAAGTTTGTTTGCGGTTATTTATTTATTTATAGATGAATACAGAACGGGACAAACCCAATTATATTGTATATCTAATTTAAACAAAACTTAAACCTAAGCTCAAATTCAACCTCAAACCTAAACTTAAACTTAAAACACAAATCAATTTTATCTTTTGATGCTCGTTTCTTTTTAAAAGTATCATTTTCGCCCACTTTTTATTGTTATGTAAACATCTATATTTTATAATAGTACATTAAAACATCCCACACTTTACAAAAATGCGATATAAAATTGCAAAAATTTAATATATTGTCATTATTATATCAGCACAAGAGATCATAACAATGTTGATTAATACCGTAAGAATATAAATATACTTTCGAGAAAAGTTTTATTAAATTTTTATATTTTAGGTAGTAAGTCTATTTATATTTGCCATAGTTTTTCTATCAGTGGTAGTGATGATTGCATCACAATCTAATGATGCTCACCACCAAAATGATGAAAATGGTGATGTTTCAATGGATATTCCTTCAGCAGCTCTAGCTTCACTTGGTGGTTAATATTAAGTCATTATTTTCGATTCAATAATTAATCATTAAAAAAACCGAATCACAAATGTTGTTTCCTTATTTAATCATTAACTGCGATTTATTGCGTATATGCAAATTATATCGTGGACTTACCACTGTTGGTGTAAAAATGAATCGGTGCTGAATGTAGAAAAAAAAAATACTGGCATAAAAATACTTCTTAAATTCTTACAATAATGCGGTATGTTGTCATTCGTGTATTATAAAATACCACGTCATATTAGACACAGGTTGTATTGTGATAGCTATTATACGACGGTACCTCTTATGGTTCAACTAAAAGAAACAGGCATCATGGCCTTAGATATAGTGCGGCGTTATTGAAGTTTTAATTGCTATTAAAAGTTGACTCGATTTTATACAACACCAAATAGACGAGAATAGACTTGTGGCTTGGAAAAACAATAAAGTTGTAAATCTTCTTTCCAATTATTACGAAATTACGCCTATAGAAAGAGTGGAACGATGTTACAAACAAAAAAGAATTAAAGTAACAGTAGAGTGTCAACATATGGTAAAAATATACAATAAACAGACACACCAACCCCAGGTCACTTTACAAAACGATTTCTATTCATAAATAGGAATATCTAAATATATTAGCAATTTTCAAAATTATTTGCCATGGACTTTGGTCTAGAGAAAACTTCCATAAATAAACTCATTATCAAAATGAGTGTAAATCATGTTTGTGTAAATGTGTAAATCATTACATGTTTTCAACGACAGTTACTTAATGATTTACACCAACAATCTATATTGGTAAAGGATATCGATCAGGAACAATTCTTTTATTCAATAATCTATAATCACCACATAGTAGCTAATTTCAAGTATCAGACCAAAAATGGTCTTTAGTTACAATAAAATATTTGGCAGAGTGCTTAACGGATAATGAAAAATCAGGATATGAAATTCTTTGTCTTTTAAAAGACAAGAATATATTGTTTTAACTACAATTATTTTGCACCATAGAATGTTGCACTTTTTTTAAATTCTTGGCTGATCACTTGATGATTGATTATCACCAATTATGCTTACAAGATCTCTAAAACATTTGGAAGACTTTTAATCATTCAACTCAATCCCAGTCAATTGGATTGTGATAAACTGTCTATATTCGAATAAACCATATTTCCGGTTTATTATTCTTTCAAACGTTTTGTCAAACAATTGCCGCCAACAACTATTAAGGTTTTATGATAGACAATTTGGTACTAAATATCAATTATTTTTTTACAAATAGATCTCTGAGGTAAACCTGTATGATAAATTTTGGCATACCAACAGAAATGAGTAATTTAGATCGCTTTACTATAAATATAACATTTGTGCAGTTAATACTTCTTATATGTATCATTTGAAAAATGATCCGCTCTTGACACTTTTTATAAAATTAGCCGGTTACACAAATGAGGTTTAAATGGCTAAAGGATTTTTCAAACTTCAGCCAAAGCAAAAGCTATAGAAACTAAAATATTTGGAGCTTATGCATATTAAACAGCGAAACTTTATGCAGACAAACACAATTCGAATAAATTTTTACATAACTTATTCATGTTGAAAGCATTATACAATTTGCAATATTATCAAACAACTCTCATAAAATACAAAAAATACCATTTGTGTTACACACGAAAAGGTTCAAGAATTTCTACTATTCAAGATGTTTTGAATACTTCACTGTACATATCTGATCATTACATATCATGTTATTGAAAAACTCAAATAGAATCGGATTAATCTATTAATATAAGACTGTAATGTTATAATTGACATTTGAATAATGTAAACTCAAAATAAAAAGTAGCCATTAAACTATTCTCTACATTATGTGGTTGATACTGTGGTAATAAACCATTTATCGTTGCCTTAATGATCAATTATTGCTACTATATTAACGATTTCATTGAAATTAATATCAGCATTTTAATTTCCAATTTTTTAACTGTATCGGATCACGTATTTAAAAGTTAATTAGGTTTGGCCAACAAAATAGCGTTCCGCGAATAATTTTTTTTACATACCAAAAATTCGAAATTCTGAATTTTAACAAAAATCTTACAGCATAATACACATCCAACGGCTCAGATCCGTTGATGTGGTAAATCAATGGCAAGAAAAAGAGAGGAAAATCGATGTGTATCTACAAGACAATTGCTACAATGACTTATCGATCAAAACAAAATACCGTATTACAAGAAGTTGGAGATGGTTTTCCTTGTAACTACTGATCGACGCAAATACTATTAAAATTTCCCATCTGATCTACAAATGCTCTACAATTATAATGTACAGGTGTCCCGAAACTCAACGTCAAGCGAGCACCGGGCGAGAGGCCAACCCATCCCTATTATTGTAAAAATAAGACAAAAATTCCATGTCTCTTAGTTAAGTGTTAATAGACACAGTGTTAATAGAAATCGCGGTTTAGTAGGATGCGGTTATTTGGAAAACGACCTGGCGGATACAAAATAAAACCAAATAATACCAATAATACCAAAATACAGTAGAACCTCGATAATCCGAACCGCAGTAAACCGAACGCCCAAAAAGCAAAAATTAAATTTCTTTTGTAAAAGTAATTTTTTTGTAAATTCTTTTGTATCCAATACTTGTGTTTTCAACTATTTAGCAGCAAGATTTGATAATCCGAACCACGTTCGGTCCGAATTAGTTCGGATTAACGAGGTTCTACTGTATGTCAAATAATGTCGGTTGTCGGATTCCGTTATTAGTTCTTCAAAATTAGGACTCCCTAATTCTTTAAGAGCGATTTAATGGAATTACAATCGGAAGTACCAGACAGTACGTCGCGCCTTTATCTTACCTACATAAAGAAATAAGGCGCGACGTCTTGTCTGGGACGCACCACCTGTTCCGAAAAAAAAACGTGGTTCCGAAAATTTTCAAATTAACATATGTTACATAGAAATGTTCAGTGATTACAACAAACTTTGTCGCAATTTTTTTTATCGAGCGGTTGCGAAGATATCGATCTCTAAAGTGAGGGGCCTTGACGTTTTGGACGGATAGTAGTCATTTGCCATAATTACGTGATCTTCTTTTTCTAGTATCTACTTTTCTGAAAAGAGTATTTTATCTTCCATTTGCAGTATCTAATCCTCTACCAGCAGTATCGAAGTCACCTACAAGAAAAATCTAATCTTCTGCAAACAGTATCTAGTTATTTTTCAGCACTATCTATTTTCTAGAATCAGTACTTTCTCTTCCATTAGCAGTATATAATCCTCTGCCAACAATATCTAATTTCAGTTAGCAGTGAAATATCTACAAAAATTAAGTGGTATATCTAAGCAACTTGTAACAAATATATTTTAAACAATATATTTTTTTAATTAATACTTTTTTCTACCAAATACCTTCCACCGAGTGGTGGCGTGCAAAAATTCGACCTCGAGAATTTGAGTGATCCATGAGTTATGAGGCCAATTTCTACTATTTTTAGCAGTGTATATGATGTTGTATATATCATGTTTATTT